TTCATGAATATATATATTTGAAAATGATAAAAATATGTTATGAATATATTTTATATGTTTTATACAAGTATATACCTATGTACAATATATAAATACTACCAATATATTTAATTATAGACATAAGACCAATTATAAATATTTATAAATTGTAATTACCAAACCTTTACAAACGGAATAGAAATGAACATTTGGAATGCTCTTAGTGGTTAGGCGTAGAGTAAGTAATTTAAAACCAGACGACCTAATATATGTTGCCAGCGGCGACTGTAACTCCATTAAGTGAGAGGTTTGTAGCAAACTTTGAATAACTACGTTGAACCCAACTACTTGCCAGATCCAATAAAGTCCCCAATAAATCTCTCCAATTCATTCCTTCACACACAGCCTTATCAATTCTCTTTTAATTAGTGGAATACCATACATATATTATTATAAGTTTTGAAAATAGAGCCATCCATAAATAAATATTTAATTAAAAAGGGATATATTGAATTAAATATCATTTATATTACCAATATTTCATTTGGCTGAACGCCCACGTTTATCAAGGTATTATAACATATTATTGTTAGATGGTGAAAAGACATATATTGGATTGAATAAAATATTTATTTACCAATATTTCGGCTGGCTGAACGCCAACCTTTATCGAGGAATTACATTTTTGTATACACAAACTCAGCTCCGCATAGTGTTATAATACTGTGTTATAACAAATCTTTTATTCAATCCAATATATGTCTTTTTACTATCTAATGATTTAAGTATAGATTGCTCTATTTCCAGAACATATCAATGTGTGTCTAAAAAATATATTCTAAGTTTTTGATATATTAATATTGTTTCAGAATTATATAAATTAAAATTAATGGTTGTCTCAAAAGTTCGTGTTTTTCTTAAAAGGGTTTCTTATTACTTGGCGAATAATATTATTACGACGAATATAAAAAATACATAATACGATTACTTTATTATATACCCATTAAGAAATACCCATTTCTTGGTTTCTAAAGAAGCCTCTGGGACCAAAAATATTTTTGGCCGCAGTGGTACAGCCTGCTCCACGCTGACGAGCGCCAACAGCGCGAAACGCGTTTGTTGATGGCTTTTCTTGATTTAACAAGAAAATGAGTTGGCCAAATATCAGGGAACAGGTTATATCAATGAATTATTTATTTCTGTTCCAGCACATGTGCTTTTGGTCAAGATATGCCTTCTTCATTTTAAATTACTTTATTATGATGCATTAGCGCGCCATCTTTTATGAATATTCGAAACTATTATAGACGCGTATGATTCTTTTGTAAAAATAAACAATAAAAATAACAGCAAAAATTGTTTAATTTTTAAAAAAATCATACGCGTCTATAATAGTTTAGACTCTTCACAATTACTTTAAACATTATACAAAGATATTATACATAACGGCGAATAATATTGGTATTTCAATTTTTTGCAAGTGTTTACGAACTTTTAGTTTAATACGAACTTGTATTAATATATCAAAATAATATAAAATATTAAGAACAATGTGAATTAATTTATGAAAAAGGGAAATTCTTGAAGATGAGTTTGCCTGATCGGCATTCATATTTTTGTAAAAATTATACCCTTTTGCCAGTTAAATTTTAATTATCTCAAACTTACAACAAAATTTTTCGTCTTGTCAGGTGAAATAAATAAAAATATAGCATTTTGCAAAGCGTAGAACAATTTTTAAACTGTTGCCAAATGCTGTATTTTTATTTATTTCTCCTGAGAAAGACAAAATATTTTTGTTGAAACGTTGAGAAAATAAATCTTAAACTGGACGTATTGTCTATATTTTACAGAAAAGTGATATTGTACTGAGATCAGGTAGGTAAATTAAAAAAATGCATTTTCTAATAGTGAAACGAAAAGTTGTGCTGATGGCTTGCGCCATCTGTAGGAATAAATATCAACTAATTAACAATTTTGTTGTTGTTGTTTCTTATCCCCTTGTGTAAAGATTACACGAATTCCATGAGTTCATGATCTCATGGAATGGGGTATAAGGGTGCAGCTTTCGTTGATCATGGCACCATGATCCAGGCACACTTTGGTGAAAGTCTGACTATGCCTGTAATTTGAGGTCGTTTCTAACATGGAAGCTTTTGCTGCCGACTCTAATATGAGTACAGACGCAACTCCTCCGTATTCCTGGAGTACCGGGTCAGTTGAACTCTGGGATTTTTAGAGAGGGAGTGTCCCTCCTGGTTACAGCATCAAGTCTACCAGAACAAGACTTGATACAATCGTGTAGAGGGTTTACTGTACCTCCCAACAATGTCCACTGCACTACAGGCAAAGTAGAATTTTGTATTTAATAGAAAGCAACGATTAGTTTAATTTTATTCCCCCATATAGCGTAAGCCATCAGAAACTTTCAGTTGCACAATCAGGAGATGTATTTTTCTATTGGTGTGAGCATTTCGTTTTATTTTAAATAGTTTGTTCGTATGAGGAAGAATGAATTAAAAGTCATTCGAAACACTTATAAACCTAAGTGACCTAATCAGAATTTATCATTAAAATGCCACATATTGTATTATATTATTATTTATAATATTATAAATAATATTATTTACTAAAAATATATTTATGATTAATATGAGAGGAAGAAATTAATTATAAAATAAAACGTTTTTTATTCAAGATTGTTAAAAAAATTATTTGTAATCTTTTTTATGTAAATTTGAAGTAAACTAATAAATTTCAAAATTTATAAAACAATTTTATATTAACACACATTTTGACAAAAGTATGTATTTAATTGTCCTGAAAATTTCTGACAGTTTTCTGGAAACTTCAGTAGATTTAGAAAAATGTCAACAGAATTTGAATATTTTTCAAATTAATTATTGAAATGTGCGATAAATTTGAAGTTTGTTTCAAGTATTTGCCTAAAGAAGTAATTTCTTTTGAAAAGTGAGCAATATTTTAAGATGGAAAGAAAAAAATGGCAGGTTTTGAGCGATAAGATCAAAGTTATCTCAACTCCAATGGTTTAATTTCCTGAGTAACTTCACTTTTGTTGATCTTTATCAAAATATACTAAAGTTGGGCGGAAAACCTCATATAGAATATAAACAGGAAAATCTTTTGTTTACCCAATTTAAAATATATAATATAAATTTAATTAAAAAGGCATTTATTGGATCAAAATATCATTTATTTTACCAATATTTTGAAAGTAGGTATTATAACATATTGATGTGTGTCAACAACAAACTCAACGCCACATAAGGTCAATATAATTAGGTTTAGCAAATATATTGGCTCATATTCGAGAGGGAATTTTATTTAATTTTTCCTCCTCATTGAAAAAAAAAATATAAGTAATTATTTTTGAAACTTGATTCAATTGACGTTACGTGGCGCTGATTTTGTTGTTGACTCACATTAATATGTTATAATGCCTTGATAAAGGTTGGCGTTCAGCCAACTGAAATATTGGTAAAATAAATGTTATTTTGATCCAATATATGCTTTTTATTTAAATATTAATTTATTGATTTCTCTATTTAAAAAAATATATATAAAATATATATTTGATTTTGTAGTTCCTAAAAGATATTCAAAATATATTATAACAATGGCTATTGATTAATAAAATATTTTTTACATATTAAATGATTTTCAATTAATTTTATATCCCTATTACACGTGGTACATTTGTAGTATTTGATTATTTGCACTCGCTGGTGGGGTTGGACCTTTTCAAGAATCAGGGGCCATAGGATCATTTTTTATTTTAGAAAAATTTTCAATGCGCGCTGGATTCGATCCCGGTTCCTAGCGGTTGAAAACCAAGGGTTAGACAACTCGTCCACCGATTCCCATGAATTTTATTGAAAATCAGTATTTCAATATAAGAAATATATACATTTTAATAATTAATAGTTCCTAATATAGTTTTCTAATTCAATTAGTAGTTTTAAATTTAGCAGCAATATATATTCTGGTTTAAAATAGTTAATCGAGAGGAAATATTCCGCACAATTTACATCTAACCTTATTGAAGGTGTTTGTTTGATCAATGTAAATTTGATATTTATTTACAAACACATTTGTGTTATTATATATTTATTATCTACAATTCAACTATTTGTTTAGTAAATATATAAAAATGTGCCATCACACACACCACACACACACACAATTCACACACACACACGAACAATTCAACAAGTCTGCAGAAGATATTAAGAATCTGAAGTCCAAGCCTGGTGATTCAGAGATACTGGAGCTGTATGGCTTGTACAAGCAAGCTGCAGTTAGTGACAACAATACATCTAAGCCAAGAATGCTAGACCTTAAAGGAAAAGCCAAATGGAATGTTTGGGATGGCAGAAAAGGGCTGAGCAAGGAGGACTCCCATGTGGAGCTGGTGGAGACCCTCATCAACAAATACGGACTCTCTGAGTCCGGCTAAGTGCCAACATTTTCTGTCACCATTTCTGTCACACACACACACATATATATATATATATATTTATTTGATAATTGTGATTTAATCATCCTATATTAGAGAAACTGGAAAAACCTTAATAGAGAGACTCAATCAACGCAGGACAGCCTTAAAAAACCATAGCCATTTATCCTTACTTGCATAGACCATGCAATTAAGCAAGGACATATGCCAAATTTTGATAATGCAATAGTTTTATACAACAATGTACAGGATAAACACACAAGATTATACCTACAGTTAAACAAAAATGTGTTAATAATATGTATTTATTACATTATAAAGGACTGCGGCGTATGATTATAAAGCAACACTTAAAGTTCCACCGCATAAGTTTCTTTTCTGTGAAAAATCAATATTTATTTCAAAGAGAAATATCTACTATTCCTAACTTTTTTGGATGACGTATGAAAGGGTGAAAATATGAAGAGTAATGGTCTATATATAATTGGATGACATATGAAAGGGTGAAAATATGAAGAGTAATGGCGAACGGAAAAATAAAAGTGTCCAGGGGCGGGTAGCCTAGTGGACATGGCATCTGCCCGGTAAGCGGAAGGTTGTGGGTTCGGTTCCCGCCCCTGGACACTTTTATTTTTCCGTTCGCCATTACTCTTCATATTTTCACCCTTTCATACGTCATCCAATTATATATAGACCATTACTCTTCATATTTTCACCCTTTCATACGTCATCCAAAAAAGTTAGGAATAGTAGATATTTCTCTTTGAAATAAATATTGATTTTTCACAGAAAAGAAACTTATGCGGTGAAACTTTAAGTGTTGCTTTATTATGTATTTATGTTATTAAAAAACAAAACTTCTCGTGCGCGCATCACATGAATAATAAGCTTACAATGAGTTTGAATTTTTCTTAGAAAATAGGCGAACAGCCACTCTCTCTCATCGAAATATCAAATTTCAATAAATATATATGACCCAACATATGCCTTTATTTATATATTTACTTATATTATACATAATGTGTGAAAATCGAACGGCTTTTATTATTATAATATTATTGATATTGCATTAATATAAAAGAAGGAAAACGTTTCTCCAGAAAAACTTTGTATATAGTTCTCTGATTGTTTTACGAACAAGACATCTTAGAATGCTCATATTTAATGAAAAAATTAAAACATTCCCGAATTGCCCCAAATGCGATTCCCAACCAGCCAGTCCTTAACATCTACTGAATTATATCAAATCATCCAAAAAGACCTCTGGGAAAACCCACGAACTTGAATAGAAAAGCTGAGACAATGGAACCTAATGGAGATCGTTTAAACGACTTGAGGAATACGCAACAACAACAACATATCATAAAGATAGAGGCTGCCTGGTTGTCATTCATAGTTATTGAAAATAAAGATACCTCGGTCAGTAAATCTTTTTATTACCTCGACGTTTCGACAAAAATATTTTGTCCTTGACAGTAGCAAACAAAAATTAAAACATTTGGCAAGGCGTTAAGCATTTGAACATTCTAAGATGTCCTGTTCGTAAAAAAATCAGAGAACTAGGTATATCAAAAATCAACAAGTTTATGAATAAACGTTTTCTTCTTTTTATATTCATGCAATATCAATAATAGAATAATAATAAAAGTCTTCAGATACACACACTCTATATAATCTATATAATTATTAAAATAAAGGCATAATATATAACGCCTTGCCAAATGTTTCAATTTTTGTTTTCTCCTGACGAGGACAAAATATTTTTGTCGAAACGTCGAGGTAATAAAAATATTTACTGGCCGAAGTATCTTTATTTTCAAAAACATCAAAATAGTTTTCTGAATGAACAATAGAATATTATCTGAACGAAGTTTGATTGTACATCAGTAGGATATAGTCATGGAGGTGCAGATTGAATGGTAGCATCGAAGTCCGGATTGTCCCCGGGGAGACTAATCCCGTGGGAGACATTCCGTTGAATGACATTCTGTGATTATGATCCAAGTCCACTTAGTGCGACCATCTTTATTTATGGTATAGAAATAAATATTTATTTTCCTATATAGATATAGCCTCCATTCCAATAAAGACAATTAAACGATGAATCATTTAATTAGGAAATAATTTTAATTATCGTATTTATTTATATCTTATTATTTTGAGAATATAATACGCAAGATTTTTAATAGAGAGTATAAATGTATATATTGGCAGAGCGCCATCTAAAAACCACATGTGCTCCTGGTTAGGATATGATTATTTTATTTTTAATATATTCTATATATAGTTACGAGCGTCATTCCTCATCGGCCTCTGTCACCGTTTGCTTTTTTTTTTTTTGGAATGGCGCCCTCCTATTGGTTGGCTACGGTCACGCCACCTTTGAATCATGCCTCCCTCACTCGCTCTTTCATTTTTGTAACTATTGGTTTGGAGCGGGTCGCTCTTTAAATAAATGCATATATTAGTTAATAACTAAATGGAATCCTCTCTTTCCTTTTCCCAGTATGAGACGCCTACGGAAGCCAACAGTACATAGACAGATAAAGCACATAGGCTATAGTTATTAACTAATATATGCATTTATTAAAGGCGCCAAATTTATAATTGTAACAAATAGTATTTGAATAAAAACATTCAATCGGGTAAAACACGGGCGTTGCCCGGGTCATTCGGCTAGTACAGATAAACTCTCTATCAAATTTCTTGCATATTATATTCCTATAACTAATTAAATAAATATTCATAAAGTAATTCGGAAGCCTATTTGATTATTTACTTCGCGACCGTATCAACAAGTAATTTAATGTTAAGTTCCTTTTACTATATATTTTTTTATTTCTCTATCTTTTGAGATAATATGATCTTCAACAGAAGTAACTAAGAATATAATTTACAGCTAACTATATATAATACACGCCTAAAATACATAAATAAAATAAAAAGATATAACTATATGTTAACCTCAGAAAGCTAAATAAATAATAATATTAAAAGAAAAACCTGAATTACTTCTTAATTCTATCATAATGTCAAGGAAGAATGTGGATTATAGAAGCTTTATATCTATATATATATAAATGAATGTTTGTATGTTTGTTGGTTTGTATGTCCGGTATACAAATTCGCAGTAGTTCACTAATTCAAACCAAAATTTCCATACATAGGTAAAAAATAACGAGGAAGACGATAGGCTATTTTTAAAAAATATATAAATCAATTATTAAAACTATATATTCAAATTATTCTACTTAGCTCACGAACAGCGCCCTCCATCAAGTACTAAAAGGTTATAAATACGTTTAAAATCTAAATCTTCTCAGTATTTTATTAATAATAGTTCACTTAATAACACATATAATATAAATATTTATATAATAACTGCTCTAATTTGAAATATTTGGTAGGTTTTATTTATTTATATATTTTCATTTTTAGATATAACTGATCTAATTCGCCTTTTAAAATAAATAATAATAGTTCGCTTAATAACACATATAATATAAATATTTACATAATAACTGCTCTAATTTGAAATATTTGGTAGGTTTTATTTACGCCTATATTTTCATTTTTAGCTATAACTGATCTAATTCGCCGTTTAAAATAACTTCTCTTGCAATATTTGGTATGTTTTATTTATATATATTTTTCATTTTTAGATATAACTTATCTAATTCGCCGTTTAAAATACCTGCTCTAATTCGAAATATTTGGTATGTTTTATTTGTGATCACTCTATTTCTATTTATTTGAAGTATTATAATTTCCATGTTTCAGAAACCTATTCCAAAAAGGTTGTTAGAAATATGTAAGGCCTGAAATAGCTTTACATGCGAATATTTATGATGCCAAGCGTAGCTTAATGGTTAGGTGTACGGCTTCGTATTTCCACAACCTTGGTTCGAAACTTAGCCTGGGTGTTTTTTTTATATTATTGAAGCAAAGTTTTTTTTTACAGTACCTAAATTTCCATACATAGGTAAAAAAATACTAGGAAAACGATAGGCTATTTTAAATTATATATAAATAAAATATTAAAACTTTATATTCAAATTATTCTACTTTGCTCACGAACAGCGCCCTCTATCAAGGTTATAAATACGTTTAAAATTAAAATCTTCTAAAATATTTTTTTAAAATAATAGTTCGCTTAATATTTAGAATAGTTGATCTAAATCGAAATATTTATAGACGCTCGCTCGATTTGAAGATTTATATCGTAACTAATCTGACTGAAATTTTAACAGAATATAGAGTAGAATCTGGAAAAACTTATAGTGAAATTTTCAGGTCTCTTTCCCGAATATTCGTCGAGTTTGCCCTTTTGCTCGCGAGCAGCGCCTCTAGCGGTGTAGATGGGAGGTAATATCAGCTGACCTAATGTACATGTAAAGTTTGGACGGGACGTTTCACAAGAGTGACATCCACGGCGCCAAATTTATAATTGTAACGCATAGTGTTTGAATAAAACATTTAATCGGGTAAACCCGGGCGTTGCCCGGGTCATTCGTCTAGTATATTATATAATCTAAAATGTAAATATTTTATTTTTTAAAAACATGTATTTTACTTTCATATTTGACTATAGTATAGACCTACCTATTTTTTTTTTAATTCACGAATATAGAATTCATTTTATAAATTCTATATTACTGTGAAAATAATTTTATGTGTAAATTGCTTCAAGTAATAAAAAAAAACTACTTGATAAGTAAAATATTATGTTTCCTTTTTCACGACTGCACCTTCAATTCTTTATTTTTTAAACAACAAAAAATATATTTATAACATATATAGATAGTAATTATATATGCTCAATTATTTTTAAAAATTGTAAAAATATATATTTAGATATAAATATATTGATTAGTAATATAATATAAAGTATTTGATAGGATTGCCTCGCATTTTCTGTTCTACTGTTTTGTCGCTTTGTCAATTAACTCGATTCTAGAACTTTTCATATGTCAAAATTAAACTTGCTTTTTTTAAAACTTATATATTATAATATATTAATAGTATATCAGCATACGAGGGGACTCAATACATATTTAATAACCCTTTTCAACATTAAAATATAAGCATATTAGTAAAAAATCAAAACAAACTATTTATTCCAAGAACAATATCTGGTATTCAAAAATCACTTCATTGCTAAATCAAATTTAAAGAAATGCCACCAATCTATATTTATTCTAAAAAAAGCAAAAAATCCTAATTTATTCGGATTCAATTGAATTCTTTTCGCCAACTAACGAGAAATCTTTGATTAGGAGAAAAATAGTTTTCAACTTTTCTATTTTAAATTGCACTTTTTCATACATTATTCATAGGCTCATCAAACGCCATATGTTAGATGGTATTTTTTCTCTTTTTTTTTATCCAGGTCGTAATAAAACACAAAAGAAAAATATATCTGAAATTTCTGTAAAATCGTTCTCCCCATAAAATACAAATGGTGAGGATTGTGTTTAGAATGGAACACCATGTCTAGATAGATAGGATATAAAATTTACACTCTATTTTATCTTCCTATAAAATAATATAATAAAATATTATTAGCGTTTATTAAATTTGGAATAATTTATGAGAATATACAGTATATATTCCTTTGAAAACAT